TTTTGGTTTTTTGAGACAGGGTTTCTCTGTGGTTTTGGAGCCTGTCCTGGAACTAGCTCTTGTAGACCAGGCTGGTCTCGAACTCACAGAGATCCGCCTGCCTCTGCCTCCCAAGGGCTAGGATTAAAGGCATGCACCACCACCGCCCGGCTAAATGCTTCTTTTTTTTAAAGAGCTGCCTTGGACAGTAACAGAACAGTGACTCAGACAGGGGTTTGCGAGCCCCGTTTTGGAAATAGCCAGTCTGTCTGTCACAGCCTCAGCCTGCAGGACTCAAGTGGCTCCCTGTATGCCCAGAAAGTTTGGGACCCCACCCCAGTCCCTGGAGCACTCACATAGAGGATCAAAGGCTGGAAGGATCTGCAAGAGTATCTCCTGCCCATGTACGGACAGTAGGACTTCAAGGGTTTGCCCAAGGCTCACTGACGTAGAGTATTTCTTGTGGTGTTTCAGCCATTGTTCAATCGCGCTGAGGAGTTTACGTTGGTTTTCCTTCTGATCCCGAAAGCTACGGAAGCCACCCATGAAGAGAACAAGGGTGCCATCTGAGTAGCCTTTTAGGACTGTTTCCCGGCCATAGGAGCCACCCTGCAGGGAATGAAGCAGCAATAGTGAGGTCTGGACTTTCTGTAGCTCCAAGCAGTGACATTTGTCAAGTCCAGTGAAATTCCCAAATGTCACCTTCATTTTAAAATCGGGTTGCTGGCACTAGTTTGCGTCCGTGTCGGTACGCGAGCTCCAAACTGGAGGAAAAGAAAACTGCAATATGATGAATACATGGCACAGTGGAGTACCATACAAGAGTGAAAACGGCGGCACAAGCAAAACTCTCACAGATCGAGTCAAAGATGCCATACAGCAAAGCGCGCATGCGCATATGCATGTACTCAATCCCCGCTAATTTACTGAGCACGGATTACAGCAGGACCCTGTGCTGCTGGGAACACTGTGTGTCTCACCATCACAACACTCTGAAGTGGGGGCTAGGCTGATCTCATTCTACAGACCCAGACCCAGACACTGTGGTACAGAGAGATGCAGCCGCCTGCCAGAGGCCGTCGCCAGGCAGAAGGCGAGGTGGCTGCTGCTTGGGCCCCTGAACAATCTGCCTTTGTGTCCACAGAGGGAGAAAAACTTTGGGAAGTGCAGTCGCCAGGGCCTGGTGTGGAGCAGCGCTCAGCATCACCGTGGGGGGTGGAGGTGGGGGAGGGGAACAGCCTGGGTCTCCAACCTGGCTCTTACCTTAGCCACTCCCCGCACAGGCAGCTCACTGCTCCACAGGAAGTCAGAGATGGCATCCACGTCCTGGTCTATCAGTTTCAGGCATTCTTCACTGGGTTTGAGTTTTGCGTCGATAAAGTCTTTTAGCTTGTATGCTGGCACTGCGTGCAAGTCAGGCCACCCGCCGGATAACCCATCGGATGATCTCCAGGATGGTCCCGCTGACGGCTCCCCAAATGACCCCCCAGATGGCCCGGCAGATGACTCGCCACCCAGCCAGTTTCCCATAGTTGCTAGCTGGCCTCAGAATGCTGTAATGGTAGAGGGATGGCCCTGTAGGTCAGGTCTGGAGATTCTGCCCCACTACAGGGGGGTGTGACTCCATAGAGGAAGTGGAGTCCGAACTCGCTGCCCCACCTCCATCACAGCCTTGCCTAGGAAATCGAAACCCATGTGTGGGAGTCGCTGCCCAGCAGCTGCATGGGGAACTTCCTGCTAGCCAGCCTCTCCTGGGACACACCACTCCAGAGCCAGAGGTGAACTCCTCCGCAGAGGCCTGATGTGTGTGTCCTTCAGAGCAGGACTGACTTCCTGGTGTCTCTATCTCCTCCATCTGTAGATCAGGGGAACCTGTCTAAAAATAACCAAACCAGTAATCACTAAGCTAATTTGGTTTGATAGAGGGTGGAGGGTGTCCACGGAGACTGGCCCTTTTCTCCTGTTTACAGTGGCTGGAGAACGCAGTGCCAGGCTGAGCAGTAGAGAAAGCGCCCAGAGAGGCTACTGACTTACTCAAAGACACACAGCATGGCAGGTACTCTGGTAGATATAGGCTTCCTTTCTGCCTTTGGATGAACACGGGGCCCTAAAGAGTCAAGAGTAGCTTCCTAACACACACACACACACACACACACACACACACACACACTTAAAGTAAAATTTAAAAATAAAATTTAAAACAAGGGGAATTTTGCCAATTCAATATAATTATTTTGTGTTGGTTTTGAGACAGAGCTCCTGCCTCAGCCTCTCATAAACCATTATTATAGCATCTTCCTTCAGTGTATGATGGGCATTGTGTTTAGCTTTCCTATGTTGCAGATGGTGTCCTGGGAAGCTCACTGGTTTTGCATGTCCCCACAAGCAGAGTCCCGCTGAGTCCTGGACCATCGAGAGTACTGGCTCCCTACAGGAACCCTGAAAGCAGGAGGACTCTCGAAGTTCCTCTAAGTGAGGCCAAAGACAGAAAATGACTGCAGGGGACAGACACTAGTGGCTCTCAGGGACCCTGCCTCGGCCTCCTGAGTGCTAGGGTTGTATATGTGCGTCACCTCACCCATTCCTAGCTACGAGGAGCCCACTGGAACTTCTCCCCAGGGCCATGGCCTGAATAGAGCTCAGAGGATTCACTGCCACCACGGTGGTGTCTGCTGTCGGAAATGGAAGGGCTTAGGTCAGCAAGGCCTCTCCGTGCCTAAATAGCTATGACCTCACTCCTCACTCACTCCAGCCACCAGCCACCCCAGTTCTGGAGCCATTTTGGCAAAAGGGTTCAAAGTCTGTGTGGTGGGAAGAGGGGCTGGGATACTAGGCCGTTGCCCCGCCTGTTGCTAGATTCCATGGAAACATAGGTCTCTTCTGGTCACATTTGTCTAGACCAGAGGTTTTCAAGCGGTGGGTCTCAACCCCTCTAGGTCAAACAACCCTTTCACAGGGGTTACCTAAGATTATCAGATCACACGTATTTCCAATGGTCTTTGTATGTCCGCCCACATGCCGGTATGCCCACAGACGAGTACCTAGAACTCTATTAAAGGGTCAAAGCCTTAAGAAGGTTGAGAACCACTGGTCTAGAGCTCCGAGGATGTTGTGACCAGCAGCCATCAAGAGACGTAATTTGGGGTCTGGTTGGCATTCTCCGTGAGTTGGCTAGGTGAGGTGAAGTTGGGACCAAGCCTTGCCTGGAGCCAAGAGCAGGAGATGCCGCTCACCCAGGCTGGCCACTGTGGGCTAAGCTGAGGAGGCAGGAACGGGCTCCAAGGCTGAAAATACTAGGGAGGCGCTGTCCTCCTGCATCCCGGTTGTTCTGTCCCAACTGCAGTCCAGGGAGAGCCGGGCTGTCTGAGACACTCCTGATGGGGTATGGGCAAGTGCAGCCACCTTCCTCCGTTTCTCATTCTCCTGTGGAAGGATCACTACCATGTCCACCCCTCAGGTGGTCCCTCTGGAGGACCCTGCTGTGGCCACACTGCTCCCGGTATCTGGCACTTGCTTCCTGTGTGCAGGGCTGGGACATTCCTAAGGTATGTCTCCCTACCCTCCACCCCTGGTTCCTAGCTGTCACTTAGACTCAGCTAGGGGATTGGAGGCATTTTCCCATTTAAGACAGATAAGTAGACATTTGTCCTGGAGACAGCCTGGCATCACCCTGGCCCTGGTGGGAATCAGAGGACAAGGGACAAACACTGCCCATCCACAGTCCACCCATAGTGTGGCGAAGGTGAAGATTCTGGAAAATCAGTTTCTGGGTCAAGGGCTTGCTAACCCATCCCTTCCTGTCCCCATCAGGACCCTGTTTCTATTGCATTTGGGAGCATCAGACATCAGGAGGCAGAGGGGCCTGACCTTTCTTGGGGAGACGCGAACAAATGTCTGTTCAACCTAGACAGGGCACAAAGACTGAGCAAGGAAAAGATGCCAAGTCTCTAGTGGTGAGCTAATGGGTTTATTGGGGTTACTAACGGCATGAGTTGGGGGTTGCAGGATGTGGGTGACCCCCAAGCACTGCATTATCAAAAAGCCTCAGCCTTCATCGGTGCTGAGTCAGGAATGCTGCACCCCTGTGCTTCTCACTAACCCTCCCCGTCCTAGGTGCTCCCTCTTGAGGGAGTGGGTGGAACCACAGGAGAGCTTGGGGTCCTTCCTGCTCCTTCTATGTCCCTAAAGCCCAGGTATCACTTGTTTTGCTTATGTTATTATCGTGGCTGTGGACCCGGGTATTCTGTAGCCAGCATCACAACCTCTGCCCCACGATGGCCACGGTCACATTACACGGGGAACATATCTGGACCACAGCTGGGGGGGGGAGGGGTCGCTGCAGGTGGAGGGATACCAGAGAGGAGCGTGGCTTCTTGGCAGGGCTGGGCTGCTGCTGGGTGTGGCTGTGGGGGTGGAGGCAGGGCACAGTGGGTGCTGAACAGCAAACTGGCAGAGTCTGAGATGTCTGGATCCTTGGGAGCCTAGCATGGGAGTCAGGGACACTGGGGTGATCAAAGCAGAGGTCAATGAAGCTTCACTAGGTGGGTAAATGGGGGAGGAATGAGAGGGTGGTGGGTGAGCAGGCAATCAGATGGGAGATGGTGTGAGGGGGGCACACACAGACAGACATACATATACACACATACATGCATATATATACATGTGCACATATACACACAAACATACATACATATACATACACATGAAGTCACACACAGGCACAGTCTAAGACACATAGACACACAGACACACACAAACACACATGCAGACACAGATACACACCAACAGATACACACAGAACACATGTAGACACAAACAGACACAGACATACACATGCAGACACACAAAGACATATGCACACACACACACACACACACACACACACACACACACACATACATCTGGCTAAATCCAAGTCTCCCGTACTGAGGGTCCGTGTCATTTTCTCTCAGCCGATGTGACCACTGATCTTTCTGGACTTCATACAGAAGCCTGTGGGAAGGAAGACATGCTGGTTACCTTAGCATTTCTGCAGAGCTGAGACCACACACGTACAGGTCCTCAGGGGCCATGGGTGGGTCCCGTCCCTCAAGAGGACCATGTCTGCTCATGACCATGTCCTCCTCTAAAGGATGCTCTTGTCTACCTCACATGCCTCTCACCTTCACAAGCCATGGCTTGATGGGGGTGCCGTCCTTGTCCATGCAGCACAGGGCAGATGTGCAGGTTGCAGCGTCCTGGGCAAGCAGGTCCCAGCGGGCATTGTGGCCCAGGTTGCCTGTGGGGTCAGCTGGATCCAGGATGATGGGTCTGCAATTGTACCCAAGGTCAGTCTCATCCCCACAACGCCCACCTGAGACACTGGCTGGGCTGTTCTCCACTCCCTAACACTACAGGGGCCAGGGTCAGGACCTCGGGGCTCCTCAGTGTCCCAGGTGCACACTCTAGGGCAGGGGTAGAAGAGAAGAGGCGTATGGAGTGGGGTGTGGTGGCAATGCCTGTAAACCTAGCACCCTGGAGGCAGAGATTGCGAGTTTGGAGCAACCTGGGCTACACAGTGTATTCTAAAGGGTTGGGGGGGGTGAGGGGACTGGCGAGATCTCTCATTGGTTAAGAGCACTGGCTGCTCTTCCAGAGGACCTGAGTTCAGTTCCCAGCAAACACATGGCGGCTCACAACCTCTGTAACTCCAGTTTCTCCATGGGCACTGCACACACAGTGCACATACATATACGCAGACAAAACACGACACACATAAAATCCTTAGAAGTGAAGGAAGGAAAGAAGGAGGGAGGGAAAAGCAGCTGCACGAGTACCACTTCTTCAGGCTGTGTTCCTTACTAACCATTCACAGGGCTGCCCTTCCTCCTTGAAGCAGGCATTGCTAATCGATTACAGCCCTGATTCTGCCACTGCCCCTCCCAGCATCCACGGCAGACATCATCAGCTAATATATATCATACACCAGACCCTTTCTCAGGATACACAGCCACTGCCCCCAAATGGTCAGTGTAACGTGCGTTTCGGGGACAATCCTGCTCATCTCTGTCCCCATTTCAGAGGTGGGCATGACGGTGAAGGATGACATGTGCTTCTATAACCCGAAGGCTGCTGATGAGAAGCTGCCAGGTGTAAAGAGTGCGAACACCAGATGCCCAGTTGTATCCTAGTTTCTGAGGAATCACGAATGCGCTTGAAGTTTGAGGCGGGATTCTCATGATGCAGCCCAGGCAGACTTTGAATTTGAAGCCCTCTACTCCCAGCCTCATGCTTTCATTTCATTCTCTTATGTGTACCAGTGCTTTGCCTTCATGTATGTCTGTACACAAACATGTCTGGTGCATGGAAGCCAGAAGAGGGCGTCAGATCCCCAAGAACTGGAATAGGTAGTCACAAGCAACTGTGTGGGTTCCGGGAATGGACCTAGGTCTCTGCAAGAGCAGCCAGTGCTCTGAACTGCTGAGCCATCTCTTCACGCTTCTAACTCAGCCTCTTGTTGTGATTACAGATGTGTGTCACGGCATCTGGACACTTTGGGGACAGGTCTCACATAGCTCAGGCTGACCTTGAACTGGTTTTGTAGCCAAGGATGACTCTGGACTCCCATTCCTCCTCCACCTCCTCATGAGTATAAGTTTTCACAGCGGTGAAACACCAAGCCCAGTTCATGCAGTGAAGGGGATGGATGCTGGGCAAACCCTCCGTCAGCTAAGCCACGGTCCAGCTCTCACATTAAAAGTAAAAAGCACATGTCTGGCCCAAATCTTGCATGAGGGCCACTCAGACTAGCATGCGATCTGATTTGTCTGCACTTGAGTTGAACTTGGAGTCTTGCATCTATTTCATCTGACAACCACATTTACAGGTGGCCAAGAAACTGACTGACTCTCTCCTCAGGCACTAAAAGTACCACTCTGGGAAGTTGCCCAGTTCCCGAGAGCAGGCCTTGCCCTTTCCTCTTCTGCCAATAGGGAGGCAGGAAGTGGATATTGTGGGTCTGAGGTAGAGGAGTCTGGGGGTGACCAAACCTGGGCTTCTGAAGTTGCAGCTTCAGGAAGTCACCGATGGCTTCGTCCTCGGCGTTATAGTTGACGGTCCAATAGATGCACAGTTGGCGGTACTGGCTAACCAGCTCCAGCACGGTGCGGAAGCCCTCCGCCATGTTGAACTGGGGATTCTGGCTGCCCTGCTCCCAGGCATACACGGTCAGGAGCTCCAGCCCATGCTGGGGTGGCAAGGAGCCCTTCCCCTGGACCATCTTGTTGCACTGGGGAAGCAAGAGAAAGGAGATGTGCTGGTCCATGTTGGCAACACAACAGCCAATGCCTCACCTGGTGGTCAGAGGGGCTCCAGGGATTGACAGGTGCACCCCTAAAGCTTAACTGAGCACCACTGTGTGCCTTGGCACAGAGACACAATGTCTTAGCTCCACTCTTGGGGGTATGTGTGTGTGTGCTGGGGGTGGGGTTTGGGCTCATGCATTCCAGGCAAGGCTCTTACCAGCCCCTCTCCATGAACTGCACCCCAGCATGCCAGTTCCTTATCATTTTGAGATAGATTCTTGCTGAGTTGGCCAGACTATCCTTGTGCTCACTCTGTAGCCCAGGCTAGCCCTGACCTTTCAATCTTTCTGCCTCAGCCTCCTATGTAGCTAAGATGAGAAGCCTGCACCAGACCTGGCTCGATCCTGCTTTATGGACACGCAAACCAAGGTCCTCTTGGTAGAATGTGACTGACCTCACACACTTGCTTGTGGCCAAACAGACACCCCTCCTTCTACCCCCATCTCCGCTTCCGCCATCTCCTTCAAGGAAAGTACTCAGGACACAGTTCCTGGGACCCAGCATCGCTGTGAGTGTATGTGTGGGAATTCGGGTGACGGATGCCCCTGTGCCTAACCTGTTGGTACCAGTGCTTCACCAGCCGGATCAAGCTCTTGAGTTTGGTGGGACGGGTGCTAATGAAGTCACGCTGCAGCTCCGTGAAGCAGGTAGAGAACTCGCCTGCGTTGCTGTAGCTGTGGATTAGGTCCTTGTAGACCTGGGGATCAGGCCTAGAGCCAGGCCTCAGCTGGCCTGTACAGTGGGAAAAGGTTAGAGTCACTCTGCCGTCAGGGAGCCTGGGTGAGCCAGCTTACAAAGCTGGTCTGAGAGACCCGTAGTATCCCTTGTTTAAGGGTGACCTGAGACCCACTGGGAGGTCACCAGCTTTTAGTGAGGGCATAAGTGTGGCATGGTCCATCTGAAAGCCCTCATGAGAGTGGAGTTATTGCCCAGCTTTTTTCCAGCCACCTGCTAGTCCACCATAGAGAAAGTCTTGACTGAGAGTCAGCCTAGGGTGTGGCATCTCTAACTCCCTCTGATGCCCTCTCAGCCCGCTCAGGCAGGGGGCTCCAATGGTCATTAGACAAAAAGCCTTCTTCAGGCACTAGGGCTGCAGGGGGCAGGGGGCAGGCAGGGGACCACAGCTGTCTCTGAGGACCTAAATAGAAGCAGACCAGACCAGTTCATGCAAGTAGAACCAGAGCCCACACAGCATATAGATGCCTGTCTGTCTCACTCAGTATGTGGGTGCTCCAGGGTAAGATTCACACCCCAGGACAGAAGACTGAGGTGCCTACTTAACATATCAAAGTGGACCTGACCTCCAGGTTCTCCAAGAATCCCCAGTTCCTACCTGTTGCAGGGTATGGCTTGCACACCCCACCCTCTTCCCTGAATTCTCCAGCTCAGGGGACTGGGTCTGTCCCCCCTTTCTTTTCTTTTTTTTTTTTATTCTTTTTTTTTTTTTTACTTTTTTGTACCTTTGGTGTCCTGGCTGCTGCACCTGACTCCCCTCTCCCTGTCTCTTCCCTTCCCCTCTCCCCACAATGCTCAGTTCAGCCTGGTCAAGTCCACTCAGGCCTCTCCCAGATGTCCCTGTCTCTGACTGTGTTCTCCCTTTTATCTACAATAAACTTTCTCCTCCCCCATACCTAGGAGCAGCCATGTCCTTTCCTTTCCTTTCCTTTCCTTTCCTTTCCTTTCCTTTCCTTTCCTTTCCTTTCCTTTCCTTCTTTCTTTCCTTCACTGGAAGCTGATCTTGGGTCCCATGGTGGGCTGAATGAGAACGTCCCCTCACAGGCTTATACATTAAAGTGCTTGGTCACCAGGTGGTGGGACTGTTAGGGAAGGATCAAAGGTGTGGCCTTGTCGGAGGAGGCTTTGAGGTTTCAAACACCCACTCCAGTTCCCAGCTTCCCCATGTCCAGGGATCAGGATGTAAACTCTCAGCTACTTCTCTAGTATTGTCTGCTGCCATACTTTCCTCTATGATGACAATGGACTAATTCTCTGAAACCATAAGCAAGCCCCCAATTAAATNTCCTCCCCTCCCCTCCCCTCTCCTCTCCTCTCCTCTCCTCTCCTCCCCTCCCCTCCCCTCTTCTCCCCTCCCCTCTTCTCCCCTCCCCTCTTCTTTCCTCCCCTCTTCTCCCCTCCCCTCCCCTCTCCTCTCTTTTCCTCCCCCTCTCCTCTCCTTTCCTTTTCTCTCTTTCTTTCCTTCACTGGAAGCTGAACTTGGGTCCCGTGGCAGGCTGAATGAGAAGTCCCCTCACAGGCTTATATATTAAAATGCTTGGTCACCAGGTGGTGGGCCAGTTAGGGAAGGATCAAAGGTGTGGTCTTGTTGGAGGAGGCTTTGAAGTTTAAGACACCCACTCCAGTTCCAAGCTCCCCCATGCCTAGAAATCAGAATGTAAACTTTCAGCTGCTTTTCCAGTATTGTCTGCTGCCATACTTCCCTCTATGATGACAATGGACTAATTTTCTGAAACTGTAAGCAAGCCCCCAATTAAATGCTTTTTTAAAAGAAGAGCTGCCTTGGTCATGGTGTCTCTTCATAGGAATAGAACGGGGTAGCCAAGACAGGTCCTCTGCAAGAGCAGTACGTGCTCTTAACCGCCTGGCCAGGACCTCAGCCCTTCCTCACCCAGCATCTTTATGGGAAGCAAAAGTGGGGCCTTGCCACATCTCCCATGCCCGTGATGTGGATAGGATCGTGCCTGGAACCACTCTGCCTGTTTCTGGAACCTCACCGAGGGCGTTGAAGGCTGGCAGCACGTCGAAGTCCACGCTCTGGTCCAGCAGTGTCTGGGATGTCAGGGAGAAGCTGAGCACTCGGGGATTCTTCCTGTTGGAGATCTCAAACTTGACATCGAACTTCTGCTTCTGCTGGCACGCCTCCAGCTGCGCCCGGATCTCCGAGATGACCTCTGCCCGGTGGCTGCCTTGCTCAGAGAACTGGCGGAAGCAGCTGAGGAACACCACAAGATCGGCATCCGAGCGCCCTTGTAGAGCTGTGCCTTTGGCAGAAGAACCGCCCTGGGGAGGACATGGAAGGTGGCTTGAGCCCTGAGTGCCCTTTGATGTCCCACAGACTGTGTGTGTGTGTGTGTGTGTGTGTGTGTGTGCGCATGTGGAGGCCAGAGGTCGACACTGGTGTTTCCACCAATCTCTATTATTATTGTTATGATTTTGAGACGAGGTCTCACTGAGCCTGGAGCTCACCAATCTAGCTGTGCTGACTGACCAGGGAACCCGAGGGGTGGTCTTCTCTCTACTCTGGAGTTTGGGTATCACAGGCAGTCTCCATGATGCCAAGTTCACGCAGTGCTAGGGTTGGAATTCAGGGATTCCCGTATGCCAGTTAAATTCTCTGCCAGCAACGTGCCCTCCAAGAAAAGAGAATCCCCCTTTCTGAAGGTTTAGCACTCCCATGGGCTGCCACATAGGAAGACATACACAGTCACCACAGTTTTGTAGATTTGCATGAAAATCAGATGACTGACTGTCATTAGGGTTGTTGATAAATTTCTTGTGTTTTTAGTTTAAAAAGAAAGATAAAGGCAGATCCAAGAACCAGAGAGAACAGCCAGCCCTGGTACTCTGTGGATGTCTCTGGATCACGCTGTGCCTGTAAGCAGACCGCTCTCCAGCTGAATCAGCCACCTTGTTCCGTTGCTGTAGACATGGACATCACTGGAGCCCACGAGGCGGCTGGAGAGGGGTCCAGCCCACAGGAGTCCCTCACCTGCAGCTTTCCAGGCCTCACCTTAACCACCTTGAGCACCTTGATGGGAGAATTCCGGAAGCAGTTTTCCTTCAGGAAGGAGCATATGGTATCTACGGCTTTCTTTACTTGATCCAGGAAATGGCGGTCGGGCTGGAGGAATTTGCTGATGAACTTGTCCAGGTCTCCAGCTGGGGTCTGGTGAAGAAGGGCTGGCTGTAGAAAGAAATGGGCAGTGCTGGCTGAAGCAGGATGCCGGAGAAACCCACGTATCGGGCTTCAGCATTCCGGAATGATGCTGCTCCCACGGTCTCCCACGTCTCCCGCACCCACGGTCCTTCCCCTCTGACTGGTGTGTCCCGAAGTAGCACAGTGGGGCCTGAGCTCCAGATCTGTTTCTACCACTGACAGGGAGCCTCAGTTTCCCCTCCCCATCTCAGTGGATCTTGTGTGTTAAGCCAATGGAGTAAGATTGTATTGGCCGTGGCCTAAGTTTGATTTGTTTTTCAAAGATTCGTGCATTGCATGCTGGGTTGTCAGTGGGGAGGGAGTGCCTTTAAAGTGGAGCCCTGCAGAATGTGCCTCCGGGTGGAGTTGAGATAGTCCTCAGGGAATCCTGAATGAATTCTGACAGGGAGATGTGGCAAGAGCCATGCTGGCCCTACATAGCCCTGTGGCATCTTGTCTCTGAGCTTGATGCTTTCCTTTGGCACACACTACCCCAGCGGCGACACTGGCCATTGTGCCAGCGCCATCACCTTGATCCACCTTCCCTAGAGAGCTGCCTGGCTTCAGGTCTTTTCTACAGTCACAGAAATGGACTAAGACGGTAGCTGCAGGTGGCTTATGTCTTGGGTTTTCTTCTCCAAGTGCAAAGCCCAAATACTTAACTAGGGCCTTATGTAGAGATGGGACACGGGGAGGATGCTGCTCAGTTTAGTTTTGTCAACTTGACAAGAGCCACAGTCATCTGGGAAGAGGGAACCTCAGCTGAGAAAATGCCACCCTGGCACTGGCCCATAGGCAAGCCTGTGGGCATATTCCTGAGTAATGATTGACGTGGGAGGACCCAGCCTGCTGGAGGTGGTGCCACCCTGCACAGGCTGTCCTGGTTGGTTTGAGAAACCACGAGGAACAAGCCAGTGGGCAGCACTCCTCCGTGGCCTCTGCCTCAGCTCCTGCCTCCATGTTCCTGCCTCGTCCTCCCTCAGTGGTGGACGGTGAAGTGCGAGTGTGAGCCAAATGCTGTCCCCTCCTCAGGACGCTGTTGGCCATGGTGTTTATCCCACACAGAAAGCCAACTATAACAGGGAGGCAGCAGAGGGTGGACGGGATGAGAAGCCGGGCTTCAGCCAGGCACAGGCTTGGGCCTCAGGGAGCTCGGGGGTGGGGACTGAACCCCAGATAAAGGCAGTTCATGGTTTCTGAGTGTCACCAGGGCATGGGCTGAGGTCAGCGCTCCAGGGGAAGGGCAGCTGTCACCATCAGCATTCCTAGAGACTGGGGAGGTGCATCCTGGCATCAAGAGACTTGGAGGGGAGACTACAGCGCTCACTACCCCAGTGACCCTGGTGTCCTGTCTCCTTAAAACACGAAAAACATAACATTTATTATGTGGCATACAATGCTCGCACCAGGTGTGTGTGTGCGCGCGCGCGCGCGTGTGTGTGTGTGCGCGTGCGCGCGCACGGCAGATCATCTGTGAAGGTCAGAGGACCACTTGGTGGGGTCAGTTCCCTCTTTCCACCTCCACATGGGTTCCGGGAATGAATTCAGGTTGTTGACCTTGTAGTCAAGCTCTTTCCCCCGCTATGTCATCCCAGTGGCCCCAGGGCACCATCTCTTACCATCACATCCCAGGGTGGCACAGGAGTCCCATCTCCACTCTGAAGGCAAACTTGTGACTCCAGAGCTGCTGCCTCCCGAGCTAACAGTTCCCAGCTGCCCTGGCCCACGTTCCAGGTGGGGTCTGCAGGGTCCAGGATTAGAGGCCTGGGGACAAAGCAGATGGAGGTGGGGAGGTACAGTCAGCGATGAGCAGCTGGGAGGGGCCGAAAGGAACATTAGATGGAGTCCAAGCCAACTGCCTCAATCAGAGAGCTCTTGGGCCAATTAACTCTAATGACGTTTAACTGTGCTAATCAAATGGGCTCTGGAGTCCTTTGGGGCATCCAATGTACCTGCTTCCTCATCACAATGCAGAGGCAAGTGGGGAGGGTGGGATAGGTGAACCAAAGCCCACCATGGCTCCTCCTGGGTACTCAGACTCCAGGAGGGAGGCAGAAGATGGCATTGAGGTGGGCGCTGGGGAAGTATGCACCTGGCTTTCTGAAGCTGGCTGAGAAGATGCGTTCTGAGGGCCGGGTCCTGTATGCTGTAGTTGACTATCCAGTAGACACAGAGTGACCGATACTGCTGGACCAGCCTCAGGACAGTCCGCAGGCCTTCAGCCATGCTGAACCCCGGTTTCCCACAGCCTTGCTCCCAGGCAAAGATTGTCAGGAGCTCCAGGGCATAGGCTGGGGGCAGAGCAGCACCTGCTGCCTCTCCTCCTTTATCTCGAGAGGCAACCTGTCATCCAAGCAGAGATCAGTCAGGGTGGCCACCTGGAGGCTGGTTCTTGGGACTTAGTAAGATGCAGGGGGTGTGTAAAACAGAACCTCAGAAGAACCGGGTCGCAGAGACTCCCTGGATGATGCTTTGTGTTTTATAGATTGGGGAAACTGAGATCTGGAGGGGGCTTGTGACTTGTCCCAGGTCAGACCGTGAATTGGGGAGCTCAGATTTGGGTGAGACCTCCCTCAAGGAGTGAGGAGCTGTATGGGAATGGGGGCTGCAATCTGTCCATCATAGTATCTCATCACCCTCAGGCGACAAGCGTGGGCTCTGGCAGGTGTGTGTCAAACACACAGTGGTTGTGGACTAAGGTCCACCTACAGGGCTGCTGCACTGACCAGAACGCCTGTGACTCCGAGGAGGTTGCAATGCTGCAGGTCCAGATCCAGGGTTTATCTTTAGCACCCTTGCCCAACTCTGGGTCTGACTTGGCATCCTTCTGACTGTTCCGCAGAACCTTTCGGGATGTGTTGATTTAACAGCTAGCTTCCACCAGCCCAAAGGCTAAAACTGTTATCAATAGCATAGGAGGCTATAGCAGAGCTAACCCTGTTTGCTGTTACCCACCGCTGTATTTCAGAACTGTTTGATTTATGCCTTTTATTTTTTTTTTTGTAGTATTTTTGAGACAGGGTCTCTCTATGTAGTGTTACTCACAGAGATCCGCCTACCTCTTTCTCCTGAGTGCTGCATTAAAGGTGTGTGTCACCACACCTGGCTGAGACTTTCTTTATTCTGTTCCCATGAAACTGTCCCCATGGAACCTGGAATTTGGTGACCTGAACCTGGTTGCTTGTATTCCAGTCCAGGTTATACTAACTTTTATCCCCTCTGAGGGGAGAGCTGCTGGTTTTTGTTCTTGTCAGTGGCATGAATGCGAGATGGCCTTCAGAAGAGAAGGTTCTAGAAGCTGCCCAGGGTGCAGCACAACTTGAAAAGAGGCGGTGATGGGGACCATCGTAGGCACTTGGCGGTGACGACCGGGACAGTGGCAGCTTCCCGGGAGGGGTAGGGTGCTCACCTGGCAGTACCAGTGTTTGACCAGGAGCATCAGGTTCTTAAGCTTGACGGGGCGTTTGTTCACAAAGTTCCTTCGCAGCTCTGTGAAGCAGGCTGCGTGCTCCCCGGCCTGGCAGCCGCTGCTGAGGAGGGAGGAGTACACCTGCGGCTGAGGTCTGTCGCCAGAATTCAGCTGCCCTACAGAAGTAGAGAACGCTAGTGAGCCGCCAGCCCACCTATGCACAGTTATTGGTATAGTTAAGTTCCGCATCAATGACTCAACACCACCGCCAGCCATGAGCTAAACATCGAATAATGTCAGAACTAGTAATCTGTCTTAGCATCAATGCAAGATGTAACCCAGGCTGACCTGGAACTTACAGCAATCCTCCTGCCTCAGCCTTCTACGTGCTGGGATCGTAGGTATATGGCACCTGGTTCCCAATTTTCACTACCTCTCCCTAACTCTGCAACGAGTTCTGGAGTGAGACAGGCCTGGGTTCGAATCCAGACTGCGTGTACTACCTCTTTGGGTCTCGGCTTTCTCACCTGTAAAAGGGGTTCGTGAGGCCGGGGAGATGGCTCAGTGGATGAGAGGAGTGACCCATCTACATGTAGGGCTCTCAGTAACAACTCACAATGAAAAAGTGTTTCCCCACGATAGAGAGGGGTGTCGCAAGGATGGGGGATTTAGCTCTTTAATGACTTGAAACGGGACTGGAGAGATGGCCCCGTAGCTAAAAACACTTGTTCTTGCAGAGGACTTGGGTTTGATTCCTGGTGGCTCACAACCTTCTGTAACTCCAGTGCTGGGGCACCTGGCAGTCTCTTGTGGCTCCTACAGGTACTGCAAGCATGTAGCACACAGGCAAATGCTACTATACACATAAAATAAAAATGAAAAAGAAACAACAATTCGAAACTATACCTACACTTAACACACCTATGATCCCAGAAGACTTGGGAAGCTGAGGCAGAAGGATGGCATATTTGAAACCAGCCTGGGTTGCATATCAAGATCCAGTTTAAAATAAAATGAGTAGAAAAATCAAGAGATGGGGCAGATGGTCTGAGGGCAGAGACGAGAGAAACAGGGAGACAATATTGAAACAGCTGCATGGGTGACTGGTTCTGGGGAAGGTTTGCCTCAAGATTTCCCAGAGACATTTTCAGTGCTTGGTGAATCCCAAGGAGTACGGCAGGCACCCCTGTTCCATGGACTCTGGATTCCTGGGGTCCCACCACTCTCTTACCCACAGCATCAAAAGCAGGTACCACACTGATGTCTGCCCAGCTGTTGAGGTCTGTGGACACCAGCCGGAGCTGCAGAGCACTGGGTCTATTCTGTTCAGTGAACTGGAGGCTCAGTCCATGCACTGGTTCCTGCCACCAGGACTGCAGCTGGGTCCGAATGTCACACAGGATCTCTGCTTGTTGGGACCTTTGTCCCTTGAAGTCCCTGAGGACTTTGTAAAAGATGACAAGCTCCACATCGCAGTCACCCCTGAGGTCCGTGCCGCGGCCGAAAGAGCCGCCCTGTGGAGGGAAATGCAGCTCAGACCTTGGACTCTCCAGGAACCCTAACTGTCCAGGAACCTGGGAGTCGTGCCAGCGTCCCCTGCAGTGGCCTAGGATGTGGCTTTCGCTGATGTTGGATCTGGACCTCAGCCCAGACCTGGGGCCCAATCCTGAGGAGTTTCAGGAATTGAGTTGTATTAGTGGGGCCTGCTTCCAGGTCTGCTGTCATGCCCATAGGCCAGCACAATGTAGAAAATCTCTCACTGAAAATATATGAAAAAACCAAGCATAAAATAAATTTTAAAAAAGAATAAATAAAGAGAAAACAAACCAAAGCAAAAACAGTTACTTAAACCTACAGTGGTCCTCAGCTCAGCTGGCTTGGCTTTGGATGGCCCAGCAGCATGGCCACCATGCTAGATTAATGTGCCCAGCATTGGCTTCTGCAAGTATGGGGACACAGGGAGGGCAATCCAGGCTAACCATGACATAGGACATATGGGAAATACCTAAAGTTATAAACGTAGTTTTGATTTGCAGTATTTCCAGCTTGGATTAGGGTGCAGCTCCACTTTAAGCGGAAGGACGACTTTCTGTCTACACCCAGCCGGCAAACCGCACCTCCAAGGACATTCAGCTTCCTTGGGCACCTCAGCTCTGTTGCCTCCCTGCCCACCGTGGTTCCCTGGGGGCATCCCAGTGGCACCTTCACCTTAGGACTCACCTTGCTGACCCTGGAGGCTTTGTGCTCACACTTCTCCCGGAGGCAGCGCAGGATGGTGTCAATGGCCTGCCTCACCTGCTGCTGGAACTGGGGACTTGGTCTCAGGTGGTTCTGGATGAAGGAGTCCAGCTCCTTGCTGGGGATCTGTGACAGATGTGGGCCCATCACTGACCCAGCGGTGGAGGTGCTGGCTGGAGGCACACTTAAGGATGGTGTGCTCTGGGTGATGCAGACTTTTGACACTGTTTCATGGACAGTTCTTGGAGGTGCTACCTTTTCGAGGTTCTTGCTGATTTTATAGGCTGTTGTGTTTGGCATGGCAGGTGCTGGAGCTGGATTCGAAGGCTGCGGGCTGACTCTTGGACGCACAGCGTTGTGGTCTGGGTTGTCTTGTTGGATGGGGTGGCCCAAACCCAAGATGCCAGCACGTGGCAGGCCCTGGAAGGGGGTGACTGAGCCTTATCAGCCAGAACTGAGGTTTGTCTCGGCACCCAGCCTTTCTCTCAGTCCCTCTGACCACAGCTGAGGTGACTGAGGCTTAGGGAGGGGAGAGAGTCAAGGGAGATGTGGGTCTTGGTGTAGAGCAGGACAGATGCCCAGATGGGGAGATAGCTGTGAGAACTTCTAGGTGGACAGACATACCCAGAGAGAGGGGGACACCACAGAAAGCCCCGGTGCTCTTCCTCCAAACCCGAGCTGGGTGATACTCCCATTGCCCCAACTGTTGAACCCTACAGCCCTGGACCCATTAGCATCAAGCCTGAGGACCCTGGTGTTCTCTCACTCACCGGCCCCTCCCAAGGCTGCTCAGGGGCTCCAGATGGCTGCCGGAAGCATCGCTGATTAAGGCAGGACTCAGCCTCCTTGGCCAGCACATCCCAGCGCCAGGCTGTCCCGTTGCCCACGTCCCAAGTTGGGTCAGCTGGATCCAGGATCACGGGCCTGCAATTCCAGAGAGAACAAGGCTCCGAACAGTGACAAGGGTCAGAGTTAGGGCAGACCTGGTGCTGCTCACTCAGGTTTGTCCTTTTCGGTTTCATGTCCAGGGCAGAGACCTCCTTCCTGCAGCCCGGGGCTTTTCATTTGTGTAAGGGTGACATCGCCTGCTTTGCTGGAGCCAGGTCCAGAACTCGTGTGGCGGTTTGAATGAGAACTGTCCCCCACAGACTTACATATTTAAATACTTGGTTCCCAGTGGGTGGAGCTATTTGGGAAGGATTGGGAGGTGTGACCTAGTTGGAGGAAGGGGGTGTCACTGGGACTGTCAAAAGACTCTCCCCATTCCCAGATAGTCTCTGTCTCTGTCTCTCTCTCTGTCTCTCTCTGTCTCTCTCTCTCTCTCTCTCTCTCTCTCTCTCTCTCTCTCTCTCTCTCTCTCCTACTGTTCCAGCACCTTGCCTGCCTGCCTGCCTGTGATCCCCAATTAAATTCTTTGCTCTATAAGCTCGTGGTGTCCCCTCATAGGAGATAACTAAGACACCCGGCTATGGCTGTGCAGTAGAGGTATAGCACAGCAAACAGGGGCCGCCCCCAGGGAACTCTAGTTCCCACCCCATGATCTGCAATATGGGCTCCAGGTATGTACGTTCATTTGGCTCATATATACTGATGCACACACGAGTGTTCATAAGCCCCAAGTCCCCAAGGAGCAGAATGCACTTCATATCATCATAATTTGCACAAAGGAAGAGTTCACATCAACCAAGAAAGAGTGAGCCGCAACTGGATGGGTGGGTGGATCACAAAGACTTAATATGAAGGAAACGGAGCCAGACCCAAGAGGGCATGCTAGCCACCAGATTCCATTCTGTATGACTTAAGAGCAGGAGAGACTCTGATGATGAAATCAAAGCAGGGACACCTGTGGGGTGCTGCTGCCTGGGGGAGGCTACTGGCAGGCTGGACATACTCTGTGGCCTGATGGGGTGGCTTCACAGGTGTGAACTGTCATCAATGTATGTAGGTCACATGTCAGTTCAACAGGAACAGCTACATAAGCCCTGGGTATGGTTCTCTTTCCAACCCCCCCTCCCCAAATTCCCCAGGACCAAGTCATTCCTTAGTGCCCGTGACAGGAGAGTGGGTAGGGGAAACTGAGGTGATACCTGGGTCTCTGAATCTGCCTTCGCAAGAACTCCCCAACCACAGGGTCCTGGAAGCCGTAGTTTTCTGTCCAGTAAATACAGAGGTCCTTGTTCTGTTGGATCAAGGCCAGGACGGTCCGGAGCCCTTGGGCCAGGCTGAAGTTGTCCTTCCTGCAGCCTTGCTCCCAGGCAAAGATAGTGAGCAGCTCCAGGGCGTAACTAGGGGGCAGCGTGGCCCTCGTGGCCCTCATGGACCTCGTGGTCTCCTGCGTCTGCACCTGCGAGAAGCAAGGAGGGCTTGGCTCCGTGAGGAGGACAGAGCTGGGGCTCACAGCACCCCACAGCCTGAGCCTAGGGCATTCATCCACTTACCCCAGGACCCAGCCCCCACCCTCTCATTTTTCTCATCTGCCTGTGGGGTTTCAGACTGATATAAGGGAACAGTAAGAAATGAGTGTCAGGACCCAGTAGAGAAATTAATATGCCTGGTGACATTCAAATTCAAATTCAACTATTTCCAGTGACAAATGGCTCTTTTTTTTTTGTTTTTGTTTTTGTTTTTCGAGACAGGGTTTCTCTGTAGCTTTGGAGCCTGTCCTGGCACTAGCTCTTGTAGACCAGGCTGGCCTCGAACTCACAGAGATCCACCTGCCTCTGCCTCCCGAGTGCTGGGATTAAAGGCATGCGCCACCACTGCCCGGCAACA